CTGGATGCTGGATGGTGGAAGTAAAGGGGGAAGAGCGCAGTCGATTCTCAGCGACGTGCGTGGTCTGTGCTGGCGCTTCGGCGTGCATTCCGAGTCCAAAATGCGGAACTCGGATGATCCGCGTCTCGATTTTTGAGTGGAGGAAGAGGTGGCTTCCCACGCTCTCGTTGAAATCACATCCATCCTCTCTGCTCAGCATCACCACCCTCATCGGACGATGCCATCCGCATCGGCTCAGAGCTCAACATGTCGCTGTCACCGCAGCTAAACGAGGCGTCGTTGTCGTCACGCAGCACCATGGACACTGTCGATCTCGCTACATCCGGCAAAAAGGGCAAACTGTCTGCGCATGAGAGGCAAGCGCAAGCCATCTCAAAGCTGCTCGCCAACCCAGACAAAGAGATCCGGATCCCCGACGGCCCCAAGGAGAAATCGATACGACCGCCGCGCGATGTCATGAAGAACGTCACAGGCTCCAGCGCAGGTGCAGGATCGGGCGAGTTCCACGTCTACAAGCAGCAACGTCGGCGCGAGTACGAACGCATTCAACTCATGGAGGAGCAGAGCCAGAAGGTGAGTCGACGCTCTAGGATGGGCGCGTATGACCTTGCTTGCTGACTGTCCGTTGCATTTGCTCGATCCGACAGCTCAAGGAGCAAGAAGAGTTTGATCGGAAGCGCGCCGAGGTGCAGCACAAAGACGAAGCGAAAACGGACAAGAACCGCGCAAAGCGTGAGAAAAAGAAGCTGGCCGCCATGAAAGCACAAGCGGCGATCAGGGCGAAAGAGGCACCAAAGCCGTCTTCCACACAGAGAACGGAAAACGGAGAGCCCGAAGCCAAGAAACAGCGCTTGCATAACGAAGCGGTTCAGCGCATCGAATTCAGGCACAAGGACGAATCGGATGGCGACGGCGACGCATGACTGTGATTAGACCAGGTTGAAATTCGCAAACAACGTCGCTGGTCGCACTTTGCTTTCCAACGGGCAATGAGAGGATGGTCGAGGGGACGTCGAGCAGTTGCCACGTCGGCAATCATCCCCTCGGGATCGTACGGTGTCGGAAAGCCTCGGAACACCCTTTGGCGCTTGTCGATCAGCTCGATCTGCCCCCGTGTCCGCTGGATCCCACCGTAAAGAGTCTTGTCCTGGCACCATGTCATGGGTACCAATCGCGTCAGCTTCCGTTGGCAGTGCACGTCAAGGTGCTCGACGGGTGACCAGTCGTTGGATCGAGGTGAGCAGGACAGAGACCGAGGCAGTGGCTTCCGTCGGCCTCAAGTGGCGAAGGGATGCGGAGTTGGCCGAGAAGCGCTTGCGAGCGTTGTGGTCTTTAGCGGGGGATGAAGGCGACCCAATCAGCAGCGCTAAGAAATAGGCGCGGCTGCATGCCCGCGGAGGGGAGGTCAGCGTATGAGGCGAGACACAGGCAAACGTGACAAGCAGGCCAAAGTGTCACTGGAAAGGGTATTGATAGTATGCGACGAGAAGATACACAGTGAGACCTGTGCGCTCGTGTAGAGGTCCGCAACAGGTGTCTTGATGCAGCATGTTGGACGCGTGAGCGCTACGGTGTGAATCGTGATGCGTGATCAGAAAATGAAAGATGGTTGCGAGCACCGTCTTCGCGCTTTGCAGATGAGGTGGGAATTCGTCAAAGAGGCAAAGCGTTCAAGTACTGTACTGTAAGAAGAAAGCAGTGCCAGCCGACCGCATCGACCAACGCAGCCGTCGCGCCTGACACTCTACCTGTGCGCATGCTGTCTCAGGGTCAGCTATACGGTTGGAATCCGTCTCATGGATACGTCAGTGCACACACTCTCTGATCACGTCTCTGACGCCGAAATCGCAACAACATGGAGCTGCGTACCCCTGCAAAGGACTTGAAGGAAAAGGTCTGCAAGCCCACAGCCGACCTTACTCTCAGCTGTCACGGGCTTCCGGATCTCGAAAAAGCCGAAGGTGGCACCCCTTTCCTGGTTCTGGAAGCCAAGGACCCCAACGGGTTGTCCTTTGAGCAGATGCAGGCGATTCTGACCGACTTCTCGAGCTACATTGACGACGACTCCGAACAAGAGCTGTTCCGGTCGCACAAGATTATTCGCTTCCGCCTTGTGCACTGCTTGATGGATGACCTGATCGACGACCTAGCCGAACGAGGCCTTCAGCCCATCGCCAATCTGTACTCGAAACTCCTCTACAAGCGCCAGACATTTGGCCTCATTGCCAGCTCCCAGTGGCACCTGGCAATGGCGATCGATGATTGGCACCATGCGAACGAGCCTGGTCAGCACGCCACGGTGACACTGATTCGCAACGAACAAGATATCGCGGTTCCGCAATGGCCGCTCGGGGGCAGAGTTCCGGATCTTTTCAAGTACGCCCTCTCCACCGCCGTCCTACAGCTGTCTACCGGCCTTGTCTCTGCCCGAGTCTTCGAGCAGGTGATCAGTACGCTCGCCGAAAAACATGCTAGATATGCACAACTCATCTTCAGACAAGGTCCTTCTTCCGAGCCAACCTGCCGTGCAGCTACTCAGGACACCAACCACCGCCTCCTCGATCTCATCCAGGATGATCGTAGCCGCACTGAGTTGGAACGCCTGCTTTCCCTAGACGAGACGACGACGGCCATCCCTTTCCGCAAAGAGGAATTGCTGCGGGTGCTGTGCGCCCTCTTCCCGTATGACCCGGTTGTCCGCAAAAGGGGCATTCGGAGTGCCGCATCGTTCGACCGTGCCAACCGTGACCGCAGCTTCAACGAGGTGGCCACAGACCACCTGGTCCTCTCCTTCGGTGGTATTTGGAACGGATGGCTTCCAGCGGGCTACTGTGAACGTCTCGCGTCGGTTGAATATCCGGAGGCGGCCAAGGCCAAGGCGGCCAGGCTCCAAAGCCGCGAGCAGCCAGTGAGCAACTCGGTCCTTCAAGGTCCCAGCTCCCGCGTGAGCGTGCCGTTGAACGCACCGAATTCAGGCACAGGAACAAGTCGGAAACTGATGGCGATGCATGACTGTAATTAAATAGCAGAACATCATCCGATCGACCGCAGCAGACAAAAGAACTCACACCAACATCTGGGTGAACTTGATCCAAGTGCCAATCTGCTTATACACCTTGGCAGCCTTGGAGATCTCCGTATCGACAGTGAAGTAGTCATGGACCTGATGCGGATAGACGTGGCAAACCACCTTACAGTTGAGCTCGCCCGGGCTCAACACGATTCGCTGGTTGGACGTCGACGTCGGCAGCCCTTTTGCTTTGCGCAGCAGGTTGGTAAAGTGCGCGCCCTCGTCGAGCAGCGTCTCGCCTCCTCCGTTGGCGATGAAGCACGGCGGCATGGCGGCCAGCTCGGCGAGGCTCTTGTTCGAGTGCGTGCTCCATGCATCCGAGATGGGGAAGGGGAGCTTGTGCAGGCCCTGCGCCGCCACTCCCCACGATTCGTACGACAGGTCGATAATGTCCTGCCCGACGTTGCGCTCGCGGCTCTTGAACGACAGGTCTTCCGGGGCGATCCACGGAGACAGCAGCACCAGTCCTGGGATCTGGAACGAGTCGACGTCGTCGAAGAGGAGGTGCTTGTACGAACGCAAGTAGCGCTCGAGCTGCAGCGTCATCCATGCACCGTGACTATCACCGCCAATATAGATCTGCTTGGGCGAGTAGCCCAGCTCGTTGACGAGGTAGAGGTACGCCGATACGGACTGATACAGCTGCACGGGCGCAGGAGCGAACGGCGCCAGGTTGTAGTCGACCGAGAACACATCGATGCCTGCGGTGCGCGCAAACGTCTTGGCGAGGTTCTGACCCATGTGCAGGTCGCCGGCGTTGAACGTGACGCCGGCGCCTCCGTGGAAGTAGCAGATGACGGGTCGGTTGGGCTTGGTGGCGGCACGAGGCTGCAAAGGCACCACATGGGGCTTGTGGGTGAACCACAGCGCACGCACGCTCCACTTGAGCCACTTGGCCTCCAGCAGCGGCGGTCCGGTGTAGGCGTCCGTCACGATCTTGCGGCGGTCGTTGGGACCGGTCTTGACCGCGAGGATGCCGTCGAGGTACTCGGGGCCAGCGGGAGAGATCCACACCTTGTCCGGACGTCCGTGCGTAGCGTTGAGCTTGAGCGCCTTGATGTTTTCTTTCGCCAGCACCACCGAGCCACCGGGCCCGGAGAGGTTGAGGCAGGCGACCACGGTAGCGACGAGCGTGTTGCGGTCGCGCAGGCCGCCCTTGCGTGGCGCGATGGGCTGCACGCCGAAGCGGATGAGGTTGCGCATCACGCGTCGCACCACCATGATGTACACCGCCGAGATGTAGCTCCAGTTGCGGTTGAGGCGGAAGCGCGGCAGCAGGCATCGGAGCATGTAGAGCGGGATGGCGACGAACGACGTGGGCAAGAAGTAGACCTGGAACAGCAGCAGACGCAGCAGCGGCAGCAGGATCTTGGGCTTGGGCGGCGAGGCGTTTCGAACGGCAGCCAGCACGGTGGCATCCACCTTGCGCTTTTCGCCAGACAGGCTCGAGCCGGCCGTCGTCGTCGTCGACTTGCTATCCAGAGAGGCGGTAGAAGACATGTTTCTGTTCGAGAATTCCCAGAGGCGAGTTCGTTGTGAGGGAGTTGTGCGGACCTCGTAGCCTAAAGGGGAGGGAGATGTGGAAGGAACAAGGAGCCGGGATGGACGGTGCACGCGAGGCCGGTCATATACGAACAAGGCCAAGGCCATCGCCGACGTGCAATGCAGCGATCGTCCATCTGCGAAAGCCAGAGTGCAACTCAAAAAGTCAGAGCCAGAATCAGAGCTAACTTGGAGCCAAAAGTTACCCCACAGTGACTGACACTTTCAGCCCTCGTCGCAGTGCGGCGTACAAGCGGCCACTTTGCATCGGCTCTGCAGCTTCATGCGCGGCTACGTGGTGGTAACCCTTGTGAAAGGTGCATTCGTACGACCCCCCTTCTGCTATTGTATATATGGCACATCCTGCCCATTTTGAGCACAAGTGGCCTCCCAGTTAGTACAATGGTTAGTATAGGGCACTCTCACTCGACCGTTGTATCAACACGGTTTGTGTGCTGCTCAGATCAGGGTTCGATTCCCTGGCCGGGAACTTTTTTTGGCGCAACGCACAGAAGAGTGTTAGGTTCTCGTCATCGCTCCACCTTGATTTTTGTGGCTCAGCTCGGATTTGTGTGTGTGTCATTCGGCTCATCTCCTCCTCCTCCTCCTCCCCCTATCCACCACCGTCGATCCTGCTCAGCCATCATCTCCGTTCATTCGTATTTACTCGCTGAGCAAACAGGCAGCATCATCGAACAGCATAGCATCATCGAAAACCAACGAGCACACTAGGCTCTTCCACTGCAACCATGGCGAGCAAGGCCGCAATCAAGCGAGTAAGTGCGGTATAATTGCAGATAAGCTGTGGGCGAAAGAACGGCCTCTCTAACTCCCTTTTCGACGCTCCCTTGCATGCCCCAGCTCACCAAGGAGGCGCAGCTCATGGACAAGGATCCTCCGCCGCTCGTCTATGCCCGTCCGCGTGAGGACAACATCCTCGAATGGTAAGGCTCCCATCCCGCGCATACTGCGTTACCGCTCCCCCGCATATACTCATCCTCGCTATCTTTTCTCTTCCTCCCGCAACTGTTCTTCAGGCACTACATCCTCCGAGGCCCTCCCGACACACCGTACGCCGGAGGCGAGTACCACGGTCAGCTGCTCTTCCCGCCCGAATTCCCGTTCAAGCCGCCCGGGATCAAGATGCAGACGCCGAGCGGCCGCTTTGCGCCCAACACCAAGATCTGCACCTCGATGAGCGACTACCATCCGCACACGTGGCAGCCCGGCTGGAACACGTCGACGATCCTCATCGGCCTGCTGTCGTTCATGTGCTCCGACGAGATGACCACGGGCTCGGTCACCGCCTCGGATGCGGACCGCCGCAAGCTGGCCGCGCAGTCGCATGCGTTCAACCTGACGCAGAAGAAGTTCTGCCAGATCTTCCCCGAGTACGCCGACGCGCAGATCAAGGACCTGCCCAACATGGGCGACAAGAAGCCGAGTGCCAGCGCAAGCACTGCGGACGGCGCTGCGGGCCAAGGCGCGGCGACCAGCAAGACTGAAAAGGTGGGATCCGATACGCTTGTTCCGTCTTCGGCATCGGATTCTGCTGCATCGCAGGGTGCGTGCAATCGAGAGGTCAGCCAGCAGCGACGACCGACTCATTCCCCCGCGGTCCGATGGCTTTGCACAAAGGGACCGTTATGATTTTGACCCGTGCGAGCTTACTGACTTTTGTAGCAATTGCTCCTTTCTCCGCACACTCCTGTACAGGCTTGAGACATCGAACCGAAGCGTCATCGTCTTCAACAGGGGCCGACGCAGCGAGACCAGTCGACGAAGCCGCCGCCGCCGCAGCACCTGCAGCAGCAAGACCACGCAACAACAATAACAACAACGGACGTCGAGATCTGTTTGGGGTACGCAGCTCCCTGGTGGTGCTCGCTGTACTAGCATATCTCTTTATCAGTCGCGTCATGAATGCGAGTGCCAACGGCATCATCTGACGTTGGTACATGCTCCATTTTTTTTTCCTCGTTGTCACCGTATCGATATCCCCGCATAGCATCATTCACACTGTTCAGCATTTTCTGTATGACTTTGTTTGCGGGCGGTGTGTCGGGTGTGCGGTGAGCGTTGCAGGTGGCATGAGCTGGTGTGTGAGTGGCAAGTGAGAGAAGCGAGGCGAAGGGCGTTGGTCAACATTCCACGCCTTTTGCATTTGACACGCGCGCCATCAGCAGTCGCAGTCGCAGCAGGGTGCAGACCAACACTTTTGCTGCGCGAGCGGAAGAGCTAAATTTGGCGCGCTGCACGAAAACAACACTCTTTTTGGGCTGCAACTCCACTCGACGTGCATATCGTCACGCTCACCACCATCACCATCGTCAACATCGTCTTTACACGCCCTGCACGCTCTCTCTACCACATCACGACGACTCGAAGCCGGCTGTGTTGTTCAACACCGGCGATAGGGTTTTTTCTCGAACGATTGGATCTTGGACGACGAAAAGTGAAAGCACCATGACGATGTGCGGCTTGATACGCGGCTCTTGCTCGTCGACACGGGACGCGGGGAGGGTGGCGCGCAAGGTGCTCGTGCTGGGCGACGGCGCGTGCGGCAAGACGAGTCTGCTGTTCGTGCTCATCAAACACGAGTTTCCGCAGTCCTAGTAAGCGTCTCCCCACCAAAACTCTTCTCTCGTGCAACGACTGACGTCTCTACACCTCTTGGGTCTTGTTCGCGGTGGGTGTATGGTAGTGAGCCGACGGTGTTTGAGAACTACGTGCACGTCATGCAGCCATCGGCCGAGGGGCCGTCGGTGGAGTTGACGCTGTGGGATACGGCGGGGCAGGAGGAGTTCGACAAGCTGCGCAGCCTCTCGTATGCCGATACGCACGTCGTCGTGCTGTGTTTTTCGACCGACAACCCGGTCAGCTTGCAAAACGTCGAATCCCGCGTAAGTTCCCACTGCCCTTCTCCACACCCTCTCTCGACAACACACTAACCCGCTTCGTTGCTTCGCTGCTTTGCTCGATAGTGGCTGCCTGAAATCCAAGCACACTGCCCCGGCGTCAAGATCGTCCTCGTCGCGCTCAAATGCGACCTGCGCAACGCTCCGTCCACCGTCGAAAAACGCCTCACCGGCTCCCCCACCCCGTTGTCCTACGCCGACGGCGTCGCCGTCGCCAAACGCATCAAAGCTTCCAGGTACCTCGAGTGCTCCGCAATGATGAACAGAGGCGTCACCGACACCTTTGTCGAAATCGCCAATGTCGCGGTTGGCAGCAGGAAGAAGGGCAGCGGCAAGGGTGCGCGTCAAGCGTGTGTGATCGCTTGATGCCGCACCAACGCCTCTGTTGCTTTCGCCCGTGCTTGTATTGTTCCCTCTCGCCAGACTGTATTCTACGCCGTCCGTTCTGTCTGCATGCCCACTCGATGCCATGCGCAATGTATACCCTCACACACACACACGCAACAACAGAGCGCTCGGTCTGTGAATCTACACGTCGTTGTAGCATTGCATGCCATCGCGTTCTCTGCGCGTCAGTCGTCCATGTTCTTGCGCTTCGCCTTGTCGGCGCGTTTCTGGAACAGCTTGTGCCGCCCCTGCTCCTTGTTGAGCGTCTTGTTGACCGACCGGTTGCGCTCGATGTACGACATGTGCTGTGCGCCGCTGAGCGCGTTGAGCGAGCCCGTGGTCCTGGACGCCTTGGCTACCGAGCTGCCGTTCAGTCCTGAACCTGAGCCTCCCCCGCCACCTCGTCCTCCACCTCCGCCTCCTCCGCCCCAACCGCCTCCACCGCCACCTCCTCCACCTCCCAAATCCGACCCCAGATCGGCATCCGACTCGTTGGCAATCAAGACACTCTGCAGCAGCTCGATCTGTTCCGCCTGGCTCTTGTACACCAGTCCCGGCATGTCCTGCATCCCGACCAGATGCGTGATCACGCGGAACGCGTATCCTTGGTCGATGAGGAACTGCTGCCGCTTGGTCGAGTAGAACATCTCGGCCGTGTCCTTGCTGACCAAGCTGTAGAAGAACGCGTTGAACCCTTCGTCGTTCCTGCGCTTGGCTCGCAGGATGCGTCCCAGCCGCTGTGCCTCTTGCCTTCGCGAGCCAAAGTGCGACGAGATCTGGATCAGACACGTCGCTTCGGGCAGGTCGATCGACGTGTCGCCCACTTTTGAGAGGAAAATCGTGTTGACCATCGGGTTGTGCTGGAAGTTCTGCAAGATGCGCATGCGCTCCAGATGCGCGGTGCCGCCATGAATGAAAGGCTTCTTCAGCTTGAAGGCGTACGCCTCGAGCGCATAGACATTGTCGGAAAACACGATGATCTTGTCGCCCCGATTCTCGTGGTAGTCGATGAGGAACTGGCACGCCTGGAACTTGTTCGGGTTCATGCAGTACAGCAGCATCTTCTTGCGGCTCTTCTCGCGCAGATACTCGCGGTAGAACTCGGGCGTCATGGGACACCACACCTCGGCACACTGCACCGTCGCAATGTGGCCCTTGGCGGCGAGGTCCATCCAGTTGGCCTCGTACAGCTTGGGCCCCACGAGGAAGTTGAGCTCGTCGATCTTTTCGTCTTCACGCACCAGCGTCGCCGTCAGACCCAGCTTGGAGTGCGCCTTGATCTTGGTCAGCACGCGTCGGAACATGCTCGCCGGCACGACGTGCACCTCGTCAAGCAAAATAAAACCCCACTCGCGACTCTCGAGGAAGTTCATCATCTTTTGCGACGTGTGCGAGCGCTTGCCCGTGTTGGCCACCATCGAGTAGGTCGACACGACGATGCCGGAGGCGCCCGAGAATTTTTCCTTCTGGTCGGCCGTAAAGACGCTGATCTGGTTGTCTTGGATGTTGCTCCACTGCAGGAACTGCTGCCTCCACTGCATGACGCTGACACTGCTGGTGCACAGCACGAGGCAGCTCTTCTTGATGGTGCATGCCGCCGTGATGCCCACGAGCGTCTTGCCGGCACCGCACGGCAGCACAATGATGCCACTTCGAGCACGACCGTTACCAAACATCTTGGCCAGACTCTTCTCTTGGTAAGGTCGAATGTGTGTGATAGGCTTGAGATCGATCTCGAGGTCGGCGTTGAGCTGGTCGTTGCGGAAATCGTATTCTTCCAGCATGGGGAAGCCGATCTCGTTGCAGCGCTTCTTGACCTGCTCGATGAACTCCTCGGCGATCTCGAAGCTGTGCACCGTGTCGTCCTCGTCGAGCTCGTCCGCCTCGTCGACGCCAATGATGGCCGAGAACAGGTCGGCTTCGTCTTCGCGTCGTGCGGCTTGGGCATTCTCAGGCGGAGGGCCTGAAGCGCCCGCACCTGTTCCTGTTGCCGAACGACCGCCGTTGGATGCACCGGGTGCCTGGCCATTGGCGGCAGCAGCAGCAGCAGCTTGTCGCGCCTTGCGAGCCGCACTCTCGGTTCCTGGAATCACGAGATCGCCTCGAGTGGGTGCTTGCGTCTTGCCCAGCACTTCCATGCGTCCAGACTTGGCAGCGTTGGGATCTTCGCGCACACGAGCAGCTC